GGTCGTTTAGATCGTTTTTCAAAAGTCGCATTTTCCTGCGTTCCTTTGGTTCTACTTTGATTACTTTCAAGTTTTCTCACATACCGCAGCTTTGTAAGCTACTGCACATGCCTGCATCTCCAGTCATCATAACGTGAGGAGCGTGGGAGATACACATCGCGCTGGTCTGTTCTTTAGTCTAGAAAATACTCACATGACGCGCACAACTTTTTAACTTCGTCGTCAAATTGATTGGAAAATGGGATATTGTATCTGTTTGCCTCGGTCTATCACGTCTGCCTGTATGTCAAATGCTGTGCTTAGTCCCCTTTGCGCCGCTATTTTAGGCAGACGCAGTTCCTGCGGTGAGGTTGACGTTTACTATTGGCTTGGGCCTTCTCGCCCTCCTAAGTCTGCTGCCGTTCCTTCTGAGTACGGAGATTGAGGCCCTCTATAAGCGCCTTCTCCTCATCGCCTGCGTCTTTTGCAGTCTCTTCTTCAACCTTGGAATTCCCTGGTTGTTTTATCGACTGCAGTCGGCCAAGTAGTGAGTCCTGGAAATGTTTATTTTTATCTTTTACTGCAGTCACCCTAATATCAAACCAAATGGCCTGATTGACCATGTTTGTGTCAATGTAAAATAGTATTTGATGACCTACATATTTGTGTTCGGCCCCCACGTGCTCTTGTGCACCGGAGTAACTTTGACTAACGACAAATAATAGGTCAGGAATGGGCTTTTTAGTTTCACCCTCTCATCATCATTGCTCACAAATCTGGGAATTTTTAATAATTATTCGCCGTGCGGTTGCCAGTAGGCGGTTCTGGTTGTAATGTTACCAAAAGCCAAGATTTCGACCAGTTCCAGACGCGTTGTTTCAAATACCCAAGGAGACAAAGGCGCACTTAGTATGGATATTTAAGCAAGCAATCGTTATCAGATCGGAGTAATCACACATTGCCCTCGAGCGAATAGCGAATCTTTTTTCAATCTGATTGGCTCCTCCCTATTGAAAAAATCAATTTGACAAATATATGTTTTCAGCAAGTGATCATCAGGCCAAACATTTGCAGGAGCAATAAAAACTGTACAGTTGAACAGGGTTAATAAGCGTAGTCTGATTACAATTCGTCGTTTACACGCGTACAACCTAACTTAATTCCATCCTTCCCCACCTCCCCCCACCCCCAACCCAAGAACCTCAACACGCCGACCTCACCATGCGGAAACGGTGGCTATAGGGTTTTTGGGGATAGGGAAATAGGATAGGCAGTGGAATATACTTCAATAACTGCTATATGCACTTTAGTTTTATTGCATTTACAAAGGTTGTTGATTTATATCTGTAGATTTTCCTAATCTGTATTATCGTTAAAAAGATTGCGGGAAAACCCGATTATCAAAATGCTGGTTTCTTGAAATTCCTGAAATTCCAAATTATCGTTCTGGATTAGTATGGTCTGTGACGCGAAGCGCCGCGCACATCTTCAATTTACGTGCAGAATAACTTAATCCCAGCGGCCGCGGGAAACAAATTAACCTACGTTTTTCCACTTTCTACTTTTAAAATTTTCCTTCACTGCCTATCCTATTTCCCCACCACCAAAACCCCTATGACCACCGTTTCCGTAGGACAAATGCTAGGACCAGGGGTATTTGCGATGCACTACTTAAGATACGTTGCCAAGACGCCCTAACTATCGGGACGTATCTCCGTATTCTATTTGTTTCCACTTGAGAGCGCCACCCAGCACGGTGATTGTCCTCAAAACTCTCACATGACATATGTTGAAACTCGGTTACCTGTTCACTTAAAATTGGTCCCGCTTCAGACGCCGTAGATATCCAGTTTGCCAGTTACGATTTTTTCCTCTATGGGATCTCGTTTGATCTCGCGTGACATAAGTGCCTCTTGGATCAAATCGTTTTGCCTTCTCTTTGGAGTCTAACAGTTACTCTTCTCAAGTATTCACTGAACTGCTAATGCAATCGAACATGCAACCATGTCAGATCATGAAACCGAAAGACCCACTGCCACGGCAAGAAACATCAGTAGTCGTCTATAGCATCTGGTGCAGTTGCGAGCAAAGCAACTATGTCGGAGAAACTGGCAGACTTCTCAAGGACGCGAATTGCCGAACACGCGGCAGGTGCGGCGAAATGATGTTTCTCAAGACACGAATTGCCGAACACGCGGCAGCAGTGCGGCGAAATGATGCCCAATTCTCCAAGTAGCGGCTCATTCAACAAGACCCGGCTACACATTCAAACTTGATGAAACCGAAATTCTCGCAAGAGGTGACAATCGAGTGAGCCGAGAATCACTTGAGCCACGGTTCACGAACCCCCAATCCATCAATAAGTGCAATGATTTGTCCAATCCATATTCGGTGCTGAGACTAAATTTGGCCAAAGCAACTGGCCGTTCGGGGAACAGACAGGCCACCACATCATCTTATGCGAATAAACATAGTCCCAGCGATCGAGTCGTCTTCTACTTCTCAATTCACTGAACTGCATTTTCTCCCCTCCTAGCTAACTGCAAGCCCTCTGGTTGAAACTGACTTTCACACTTATGTTTTAGTAATATACACGGCCCCTGGGACGAAGCAATCATTCAGCGGTGATCCTCGACAGTCGTTTCGCTGTTTCTCAATGGAACCTCACTCACCAATGTCTTTGTTATTTTATTCCGTTTTTGCTGTTGAACGTTATTGTACAAGAATATTCAGTTGTTTTGCAACAACTTCAATTAAAAAGTCCCGAAGAACTTATAACAAACTTTTATTTTCCACAAAATCTTATCGAGCCGGTAAAATTACACTGCAAACTGGGTGCAGTTGGGAGACGGAGAAAAGCCGCGACCTCAGCCGGCTTG